CACAACAACTTCAGGTGCTTATCAAAAACCTAAGTGCGGCAGGCATTCTACATGCAGATGAGATGGTTCAATTTTTTCAACGGATTCAAGGACCTAAGCCGTCAGTGATAAAGCTGAAAGTGATAGCTTATGTCATTGCACCGGAACTTGTCGTAAAACGAGACGGGACAATTGCGACCAGGCGTTCACTTCTGATCGAGGTTTTCGAGGGACAAATCGAGGCTCCAGAGGGTTTGATTAAAGTATGTTTTTGGCAGTAACGTTTTTCCGCTTCTGTCTTTATCTCTGATTTGTGACTCCTGTTAGAGCGTTATGATAAGTCCCGAAATCGATATCCAAATTGGAGGTAGAACTGCGACGAAAAGAGGCGTCGTCTCTCAATCTTCAGAGATGGCGCACCGTCCTGAGCAACTTGGTGCGGAATTCGGATTGGTAACGCACGTCGAGGTAAACTGCATGGCAAGTCTGTTAAACCACGTTTTGTAGAAAAGCTTAGCCATCGGTCCCGAAGTCGCCATCCAGCAACAAGGTCGAGTCGCGACCAGACGAGGTCTTGGCCGGACACAACGTACCATTCGAAAGGTACCTTTAATGTGAAGTTTTACAGTGCAGGTTAGCCACAAGCTGGTTCTTATAGATCAGTCCGCAAAAGAAGGCACTCATAGACAGTTTGATGGTGGCTTTCACGGAACCCTTAGTCCGATCGCAACCCCAAAATGTTGGATTAAGGTAAGCTCGGCAAAATCAGTATTATCCCAAACCATCTGTTCTCATTTTCACGAGAGTTTCAACTCTGATCTCATGTAAAATTTCAATAGTCTACAATGCCACTTAATTCTCTGGACGTATCACATAATTCGAAATGTTGCCGTTGCCTTCTTGATATAATTCTTTTTTAAATGTTACAGTACGATGTCAATTGGTTATGCCATTCAAGAAAGAAATGTTTAAAAAAACCTCCTGATGCATCTTCTCTTTTAAATCACTCACTGTTTGCGTTTAAAGGTCTTTTTAACCGCCTCCAGCATTGTTCATTATTGGCAGAGCGATTGGGAGTTACTGTCTATACGAAGAGTGTAGAGCAATTTTTTCATGTTTTAATTACCCGGTGATGATTCATTTAAACAACATAAACAATTAGTGATGCGTGATAACTACGCGATAAAGTGGACATGAATTTTCCGTCCAGTTTGGACTGTCAACGCTGGGAAAATTGGACGTAATGGCAGTACTGAAATTTTTGCACTCATTCAGCGATCCACTTGAACTGAGGGTGACACTGGTAACTGTCGCAGATAAAACTTTTCTATTTTAATCAGAATAAAAGCTCAAGCCCTTCGATGCTTTAAATTGTTTAGTTTTTTTCTTAGAGTTTTGTATGCATATTTTTTACCTCGAAGACGAATCCGATGTGCGCTGTCGAAACCCCTCAGTGAAAAAAAGATTTTTATATTCTCTTAGTAATCTGGTCTTCTGAGTTATGAGTCAAAAAAGAAGTGTAAATTAATAGGCCTCGTGCATCAAGGCGACATGATTCTTGAAAACGTATTTATCAAGTTAGCATTGCCAGGAGAAAAGTCACAAAAGCGAGATCACTGACTTATTTTTAATTGTAGCCCCGCGGGCGGAAGGCGTACGCCGCAAGCACCAAAGCCGGTAGACAAAATGGTAATCTTCATCCCCTGAAGGGCAGCTGTATCTGACAGTCGTTTTTTCAGCTCCTGAATAACCTAGAGGAATCGGCAGCCTTGCCATTGGTGGTCATTCAGCACATCCTCAACGGCTTGGTCAAAACTAGTCGCTTAAAAATGGAAGTCAGCAAGAAAGTCGTCGATTACCTGAGGCCAAAGGCGAATTCTGCAACAAACGTTCAACTGATGGACGTCCGCGACGCTTTTGAAGTCCTACTTTAAAGTAAACGCCTCCAAACGTCTACTAATGAACAACGGTGTGATAAAAACTGTCCAATTCACATCATTGCTGCTGAAAATTGTTCTTTTATATGATATTCAAATTAATTAATGATCGAGTGTTCGTTGACACTCATGATCTGTCATTTCCCGTCGGCTTCCTACTTATAGTAATGATGGTTATTCTATCCTAATCATATCATTCACCAGTATTGTCAGAAAAGTAACTACCTCAGTAAACGTTTCTTTGTGTATCACTGTTCAGATTATTTTCAAATCTTACTCTGAGAGTGCCCTCTGAGCAACACATGGATGTTATTCTTAAAGAATACTTTCGTCGCCAAGTCCGGTCATTTAACTGATTCATTGAGGCAAGTTTCCTTTCCGAAACAGAGATGGACGGATTGATGAAGCCAACAAATGATGAGCCACCATCAGCACCTGGTTCCTGTGCGGTGCCTTAGGATCACTGCTGAACCCTTCGTTTCTTAGCAATTGCTGACAAGGTCAAGAGGAACAATCATAACTCTAGAAGATGATTGATGATTGACTCACTTGCGCACGACAAGGCGAGAACTATTTGCTTCGGAAAGTTCATTATCCCTTTGCAGACAACGAACATCATAAATTGGGTTTCCCCTTTTAAAACTAGTTTCTTAGAGCATCCATACTTCCTTTAATTACATATGCTTAACCCGTATTATTTTTCTTCTTTAATAACAAAGCATGTTATGGCAGGTTCTGAAGATTGTCGACGGAGCAATTCAGCTATCAAATGCGATACGGTAAACGTCGTGGTAGATTCGAGTGCAAGATGTATTGTAAATGGACTTTCAAATTTAACAGAAGCTGTCATAATTAGTCTTGGCATCATTTCTCTCTTCAATGAATGTAATTAAACCGACCGAAAAATGCAATTATCTCACCCCCACCGTCAAAACTAGAAAAGACAGGTGTGCTCAGCATCATTAACTTAGGTACAAGATCTTTGACCCTGATATATCAGATGAAGATTAGAACAGCAGCTGCAAAAAAAGCTGGAAATGATTTGCATACGCAGCACCCATCTTAATTCCCATCATGTAGGAAGCTGTATATCCAACACAGAATTTCGATTATACTTCATCTTCATCTTCCATCGCCGCTTCTCCTGTCGGGTCGCGAAGGCAGACACGTCACACAGAGCTTCCAACCTTCCCGATCCTGTGCCAGAGTCTGAGCTTCGGCAAAAGACAAATGCAGTCTGGAACAGAT